CACAAATTATATATTTTTTCATCACGTTTGAATAATAAACTTTTTGAAATAACCCTTGATGGAACCCTATACTTGCACTTTGAGCTGATATATCTCGGTTCCTGTAAAAGGTATCAAAAAGTAGTCAACGAACAAACTGTTTATCATAATATCAGTAGTATTTTATCAGTGAACAACTTTTTGATACCTTTTACAGGAACCGATATATATGAGCTCAAAGTGCAAGGCCATCTATTCATTCTTTGATCCTAATTATCTCGTTTGTGGTTTGAGATTTTGAAAAAATTTCAACTAATGAAATGTTTCTGATATTAAGGGAAATATTTTTCAACATGTTTTCCTAGATCTCTAACGGGAACCAAGAAAAAATTGATCCAAGAAATTAAACAATTAAAGTTTCAGAAAATTCAGAAGATCCAGAAATTCAGAAATTTGGCAATTCTGCATTTCGGGAAATTTTGGAAATCCAGAACGAAAAGTTACAGATTATTCAAAAATTGAGAAACGCAGAATTTCCGAAGTTTCGTAAATTAAAAAATTAAAAATTCATATTTTAGGAAATTCAGAAGATCCAGAAATTCAAAAATGTCAGTAATCCTCTGGCATTTCGATTATCAGAAATTTGTTAGTTTCAAATTCGCATGGCTAAATACCGATAGAACATAAAACTCCAAATTTCAAGAGAAAAGAATAAAGTTCTGAAACGGATAAATCCTTTTATACGAAAGTTGAATAAAAAGATATTTTCAAAAGTTCTATGACATATTCAAATCATAAGAAACCACAGAAGTGACTTCATTTCTGTTGATAGCTCGTCGAATGAAATCTGAAAACTCAATTTTATGAAATTCCAAATGTCTGATTTCCTTACTAAAGAACGCATTTCGATACTCATCAATAAATAATAGGTTGGGTAATGGGTCCACAGCCGGATAGAACGAATAGAAAAATGTAATAAGTAGGCTGGACCAGGAGATATCAATTCCAATTAAAGGGCAATAGAAAAGGAATCCAACTGGAATGAACAGGAATACCATTGGGATGAGGGTCTGGAAAAAAAACATGGCTAGGAGTACGAGTAACCTTCAAATCATTATACAAAAAGATTAAATAACAAAAAAGCCACAGTGGGGTTCGAACCCGCAACCCAAGAACCCTAGTCAAAAGCGTGCTCTCCTCGACCACCGTGCCACACTTAGGACAGCAATGTCGCTTAAGAAGGAGGATTCTCACCTGCGCCACCAACGCCTTGTACAACTGCATCTGTAGCTTCTTTGAATAATCATTTTCCCCTTGAGAAATTAATTCTTGGATTTTCCTGTAACTTTTCGTTCCAAAGTACACAATTGTGAAGAATGGAATATTCTGAAAATTCAAACTTTTGAAAATGTTCTTTCTTTAGACCATACCATAATCACCGTCAAATTAAGTGCTCCAATCAAATCCTTTTTGCTCAAATATCGACTTCCAAATCGATCGATTCTCCAGTATAAGCATCCGGTATAGGTCATTTTGTCAGCGTCTATGTCGTACATCTCTTTCACATTCGATCTGAAGTAATTAAATTTTTTCAAAGCTTATCAAGTCAGTGATTTAAGGGCGCCTTAACTTTGAGTCAATTTATCTCGTTTCCTGTGAAAGGTATCAAAAAGTGATCAACCAACAAAATGTTGCTGATCTTATGATAAACATTTTGTCAGTTGAGTATTTTTTGGTAACTTCTAAAGAAGTTAAATGAGCTCAAAGTTATGAGTTAGCGGGCCCTTCTAATACAGGTTTTACTGTAAAGATCCTTTGAATTTGAATCAATTTATCTCGTTTCCTGTAAAAGGCATCAAAAGGTCGTCAACTGATAAAATATTGCTCTAATTATAAGCAATATTTTGTCAATTAAAAATGTTTGATATCTCTCACAAGAACCGAGATAATTTCAGTCGAATTTGGCTCAACCGTGTAGCTCAGCTGGTCAGTTTGGTGTACTTCTATCGAAAGTTTTACGGTATTACTAAAGCGACTTGAAGGTGGGGGGGGACATGAAAAAATAATGTTCTCGAAATTCCGTTCAAAGATGCCCCTCGAGGAGTTGAACTTGTGAGGGCGATGATTGAGGGTGCGGCACCGCTACCGACTGAGCCACACGGGCAAAGAGAAAGCGCACGCCCGATTGCATACATAAAGGCGAGGACTAAGCGTTGTACACCGTGACAGTAGAATGCATACTCTAACTACAAAAAAACTACGAAAAATTCAGTCAATGAATGACTTTCAAACAATCTATCTCTGTTACAAACTAGTTGTAACAGAAATTTCGAAACAAGTTTTTAGTTAGACATAAATGGAATGATTCCCTTAACTTTCAACTTTAAGCCAATTTATCTTGGATAAATTGGCTTCAAGTTGAATTGGATAAATTGGCTTAAAGTTGTATCAAAAGGTGTTCCATATATAAAACATTTTTTGATAAAATGATGAACATTTTATCAATTAACCATGTTCTGATATCTTGCCCAGAAAATGAGATGCATGCTCAAAGTTGAGAATCTGTAGTTTTTAGGGAAGGATGACCTAGTTTTAATTACTGTGTTATATTTCTGATATATCTACTTGAAAAATTAAATAATATGATATTTTGTATAAATGTCCAACCTCAAATACTCTATCATTTCTGGATCCGGTGAGAACAATAGCCAGTTATTAGTCACCCAAATAATTCCACCAAATATAGGAATTAAAATCCAGAATACGAGACGGAAACCACGAAAATAGCGGAGGCGTCCTTCCCTGTCCAAATCAAAGTCGCATTAAAAATGTTACGTTTTTCGTAGACTTATGAATTTCATGAAACAAATTTTTTTAAGAAAAAAAACTGACATTTTTTAACAATTTTGAAAAACAAATTTAGATCTTTTTCGAAAAATGGTACCGCTTTGGTATCTTCTGAGCTAGCTGGCCCAGCTACACGGCCGCAAAACTACAGTAATCACCTCTGCAACGCAAAAAACCTGAACACAAAATTGATGGCAATCGCGTATACTGTAGAAGCGAAACATCCAGTTAGAGACGCAGTTATGAAAAATGCTACAGTAGGAAAATCTACAAGTTTCGAGTTTTTCAAATCCATCACCATTGAGAAGGATGCGCCGTAAGTTTGAATGTACTGAAAGCTTTTTTTTAGTCAAATTTCTAAATTTTAAAAAATTTCCAAAAATGTCTACCGGCTGCACCAAAAAATCCATGACTGCATAAATCATTGAAATGACCGAAAAATAGCACATTAGATGTTTATAATTCCCCAACTTTTTCGGTGAATGATAAATCACTAAAATGATGAAAACCGAATTCACAGATAAGGAGAAAATTAGAGTAATCAGTTGGATATACGGTTTGATTACTGATAACCAGGACATTTTCTGAAATCGTATAGTTAAGAGAAAAATAATGAAAATCTGAAGATGTGTATTTCGTTTTTGTGACGATAAATGGTCCCCAGAGATTTTTATTTGTTATTGGGGAATGAACTCATGTCTAGAAAATGATGAGAATCTATCCGTTCATGTATTATGTATTAGAGCAAACAATAATTTAATTCTAGAAAATATAATAATGAAACTGAAAAAAAATTTTGAACAAAACAATTAAAAATTATACATAGAAAACTGGGGGATAGAAATTAGAATTACTGCTTTACAAATTTCAGAAAAAAAGTTGTACTAGCATATGATCTGTAAGCAGTTAACATGAAGCCATGGATTTCGTGTAAAAACTGAAGAATTTTGGAAAGTTATAAAAATTTTAATTAATTTTTCCACAGTTTGATTTTCAGTACATTCCCACTTACCGTGCACCATGTTCAATTCCTATGGACTTTAAAAAACTCGAAATTTGAGAATTTTCCTACTGTAGCATTTTTCATACCTGTGTCTCTAACTGGATGTTTTGTTTCAACAGAATACGCGATTGCCATCAATTTTGTGTTCAGGTTTTTTGCATTGCAGAGGTGATTACTGTAATTAGGACTTTTCGACTGTGTAGCTCATCAGGTAGCGGCCCGGTACCATATTGCCCAGCAATTCTAATCTTCTGAAGTATTTCTATGAATTAAAATGCATAACTTGGATATAATTTTTTGTTTGAAGAATTAAAAAATAAAACTTCTCTGTTTCATAAAATTCGTAAATCTATAGATTTTTCAATATTTAATGATTGTCGCACATTTCCAATAATGGGCGTCTCCAAAGACCCTCAAAATAGGAGTTGCGATTTTTCAAATCCCCCATGTTCACAAACAAGTTTTTGAGGAATCTCTATTTTTCTTCAGTAGACTCTGAAATTTTCAGACGAATTGAAAAATTCTAGACCCATTTCAGGATTTCAAAGTTGACTTTCTTCAACTAAAAAAATTGTAAGAAAGGATATGTACATTTATCATCGAAACCAGTTTTAAAAACAATTTTGTTTTCAATATTTTCTGTTACAAATAGTTTGTAACAGCGATAGATTGTTTGAAATTCATTAGGAGCATCCATCCAGAAACAAAAAACTGTACAAAGCTAAAGTTAGAACGTATTTTGTTTATACCATCGTCCAACGGACTAAACATATGCTACAGTAGCTCAGCTGGTAGCAACGCGATACCTTCAGCGTTGGGTCCACAAGTTCAACTCCTCAAGGAGCGTATGTGAACAAAATTTCGAGAAAATTAGGTTTTCATATCCCCCCTCCAAACCTTCAAAGTTACTAAACCCGAATTTTCCTAAATTCTTTGAAAATTTCTGTTTCACGAGCTGATTCTCAGAAAATTATTACTACGACACGGTGGTGTATCTTCCGTCCAATTTCCTGTCTAGCCTACCTAGAATCGTGAAAACCACAAATAATTGATCACATCTTTTTTATTACATCTCAATACACAAAACAAATACAAAAAATGAAATCTCCATACTTCGAAATTGCCAAAAATTGCATTCAACTTTTTTCCAGTACTCTTGCAATCTTTCTAAACTCATTGCTCATTTTTTTGATCTACACAAAATCTCCAAAAAAGATGGGAAATTATAGACATCTCATGTGCTATTTTTGTGCAATTTCAATGATTTTTGCAGTTTTGGATTTCGTTTTAAGACCTGTGAGCTCATTAATTTTTGAGAAGAAAATTGTTTGAAGTTTCAGAACATTTACAGTCGTGGAAGTACATTTTTCATGATGTCCGATCTTCGAAAAAGTTTTTTGTCCCAGGAAATGACTAGGATTTTGATCTGTAAGACAAAAAATTTGTCCGGGACATTTGGAAACTGGTCTTTTTGAGACTGCACGTTTCATAACCGGGAAAATTTCAAAAGTGGTCATCTCAAAAACAGGAATTCTGGAACTGGTTTTTTTTGAGACGGTTTAGAACCGGTCATTTCGTAACGGACCGTTTCGCCCCATGACATTTCAGAATCAGTCATTACGAAACTGTTGTAAAATTTCCGGTTGCGAAACGTCCCTGGCCGGAAAAATGCGTTTCAACAAATTGATATAAAATTAAAAACTTTTTAATCTGGAGTGCAGAGAAATTTAAAAAGATGAAACAATTTTTTGAAAAAATTCAAAATCAAAATGTTCGAAAAAAATTGTTTGATTTTCAGAATTGAAAAAAAAACTTTGAAAATTATTAATGTTTTCCGAAATCTTAGAAATTATTCAGGCATTCTTTGCGGCTGTTGTGGTTCCACAATCTACGGAATCGTCGTTCATTTTGTTTATCGATTTTTCGCATTGGAAAGGTTTGTCAATTAGTTTTAATTAGTCTAATTAGCGTTCAAATCGGAACCATTAATTACTAAAATTTTCTGTTTCGAAAACAGCTTATACTTTCTTTTCAAACGATTTTTTTAATAATACTGTGTATGTCTGCGACTGAATCTCAGAATTTCAGAATTTAAAAATTTCAGAAGTTCAGAATCCTCCAGAATATCAGAATCTTAGAATATCAGAATCTCAAAATTCCAGATTAACAGAATCTCAGAATCTTAGAATCTCAAAAATATTTCCTGTTTCTGAACGTTATTTTTATCTAAAAATATATTTTTTTATCAGTATAATATCAGTCAGTATCAGTATAGTAGTTAACAATTCCTTTTTAATTCGAATTTCTAGAACGGGAAGACTCAAATATTTCAAAGGTCCCTTTCTCATTTTCTGGTTCTCTCTACCTCTAATTTCTGGCCTAAATTGGAGTTTCTTATGTTACTATCTATTCGGAATGTCCCCAAAATCGTCAGACTATCTTAGGTACCAAAATTCTGAAGTTTGACTGAAAAAAAAGAAGAAATTTCCAGGCCAATAACTCTAGACATTTTCAATGTTTCAATTTCCAATATTTCATATTCGGCGGCGGTTTTCTGGCCAAAAAACCAAATTTCTTGGTCCGACTTCAATTGGAAACATGGAATTGGTTTTGTTAATTGTGTTTTATTAATGCAAATTTCATTCGGTATCATTCTATGGATGTGTGCAAAAAGTCGACTGAAAATTAAGGAATTATTGAAACAAGGAGTTTCAAAATATTCGAAAGACTTGCAAATTCAGTTGTACAAAGCATTGGTTGTGCAGGTAGGTTTTATAATAAATAGCGAAGAATTAGAAAATAAAAAAAATTGAAAAAGTTATGATAATTTTGAAACATAAAACAGTTCAATTTTTTGGAATTTAATCTTAAACAAGGTTATGCAAAATCACGGTTGACCGCGGACGGCTCAGCCGTAATCAAAGCTGGCCGCGGCCAACCGTGCAAATCTAGAAAATTCCAGACCCTCATCCCCACAATCTTCATATTCATTCCATTTGGAATCCTGTTCATTTGCCCATTTTTCCTAATCAATTGTGAATTTATTTCTGAACCTGTCACTATTTTCTACTCTATCTATCCAGTTTTGGACCCTTTACCACTTTTATTTTACATCGATATATATAGAAATGCTTGTCGAGGTGAGATTTTTAGAAACGAAATTTTACCTTTTAGTTGAAAATGGTCAATTTTAGACGCCTACAAAAGACCTTTTAAATTTGTCTGAAAATTTTAGAATGTACTAAACAAAAATAGAGTTTAAATTCTGTAGTTGACAGATGTTTTGCAAAAAAACCAGCAATTTTGTCGGAAGCGAAATTGCAGGAGTTTTCTAGGCCATGTGATCTCGTCCTCCTCCTCGTGGAGTACACGACAAAAGTCGGAGCGAGATCCAACCGGGAAATTCGTTGCGCCTTTAATCTTG